CACACACACACACACACATCTCCCCAAATCTAACCCAGAGCTCCCGAGTTAATTCCCACTCTTGATGGAAGTCAGTTGAGTTTTTGAGGATGTAAACCTTTAATGTCCATCTTTGTCTTGCAGGGTGGCTGATGGATTCCAGCTGCCAACCTTTTGGCTTCCAGCACAACCTGTAACACACTATATACAACAGGACTCCTTAAATCTGATATGGGGGTATCATAAAATGGAAAGTGTGCAATGCTAGTTGGTGCTCAGGACAGCATAACAGAAATTATGGGTTCATAGAAGTTGTGGAAAGGGGTGGGGTGTCTTTTAATGGATAAACGAAATAATTTTCTGTGAATTTTGTGATAAGTTCTTCTCAGGTGAACTCTTAACTCTCCTACAACTAATTGCAAATCTGGGAAGAAAAGTTCTAGAAAGCAAAATCTCAACTATTTAAGTAAACCAGATAGCCTTCCAACTCCTATTCTTTTTTATTTGTTTTTTAAATTATTTAAGAGTATAGGAAAAGTTGCAATAACAGTATGAGGAATTTATCTTGTTCACTCTTCATACAGATTCATCTGTTAATCCTTAACATTTTCTCCCTTTATGTTTCCCTTTTAGTTGGCAGATAAGAAGCCCTGCTGACTGACGGTGGCTGGGAGTTTTTGCTTTGGAAATCTTATGGGACTAGAATTGCCTTGAAGACAATGGGTTTATATTTTTTATACGGATACATTGAGACTTGGATATCCACACATACACACAAGCAATATTTCTTGAGAGTTAATGATAAACATAACCTTTTATGGATAAATATTGATGTAACAGTGAATGATCACGACAGCAGCAGATTCAGTGAACCTTAAGAACAAGGCTAGTCTCCTGTATAAAGTTCTATTAACAAGGGGAAACAATGCGGCATTGCTTTCTTATCTAAGGTAATCCGTAATAAAATTTTGCTAATTGTCCCCTCCCTTCATTACCATCAAGCCCAGTCATTCACTCCTTTAAGAAGAAACAGGTTCCGAGTGTGTCTTTCCTGACATATTTTTGGAGAGGATGGACCAGGTGTTTCCCGGAAGGTTGTCTGATCTGTCCTCATGGTTAGATTTCAGGTTGTGCATTTTTGACTAGAATACAAGAGAAATGGTGGTAAGTTCTGCTCACTCCATCACATTCATGATTCACTAGTGAATGGACATTCAATACTGTCAATTAATAATGATGTTAATTTTAATTACTAGCTTATGGTAGTGTCTGTCATGGCTTTCCACTCTTAAGTTTGCATTTCTCCGTGTCGTTGATAAGTCATCTGTAGGGGAATATTTTGAGACAGTCTGTCCTGTTCTTAAAGAATTTGACCCCATCTTTGTAGTTCCATTTCATTCTTACCTGAATCAATGAATATAGTGATGACTGAAAAGAGTTGGCTTTCTAACAGTATTTCCTTCTATGTTTTCAAGCAACATTCTCTCAGACATTATTCTTAATTTTAGCTTTGAAACCTTTAAGAATAAAATGGAGTTCTCCAAACATTGTTGTCAACTTTGTGTGGGCTGGACATTGTTCTAAGAGGAATGCTGGATGAAAATCATGGTAGAAGCAGCCTTGCTGATCAGTGAGGAAATGAATCACAGGAAGGAAATCTTTATATCTTCTACATATACTCAAACCTAAGTTGTCCCTTGTCAAGTTCAAACTCTCCTTTGTAATCTGCCTTTTGCTTTCTTCTGCTTCTGTGAATCCTGAAAATGTGGCAGTTTGGCTAATAAAGTTTACTTATTTTTCAGTACAAGGTGGTGTCAAATGGTAGAGGCAGTTGCTGACATCAAATAGAAAATCCTTGCTCATTACCTCCAGTTCCAATGAATCTGTAACTGTAGAAAAGTAATAGTTATGCCGTTACTAAAAAGTATGCTTTCTGACTCTCAGAGAAATGCATGATGATTCATGGTAGAAAATATAAAGAAATATAAAAAAATTGAAAACTATCTTTAATTCAAACATCCAAAGGTAGGCACCAAAAATATACATTTTTAATTTTCTTTTTATCATTCTCTGTTAATAAACTATTCCGCATAATTTAGCATAACATTTCCCATGGCAATAAATATTCTTTAATAACATGATTTTTAGTGACAAAGAGTAGTCATTGGATGAATATATAATTTAATTACTACCCCCATAATGGGACATCTAGGCTTTTCTCAATTTTATTTTATGTGTGTGTGGCTGTTATGTGCTTTTGAATGCAAACCAAGTCACAGCTGATCCTCTGGTGGGTTTTCAGAGGCTATACACCACACAAGGGGAGATTGCAGTTGGTGGATTAGAATTGTCTGCCTTTGAATTGGCAGCACAACTCTCTACCCACCAGATCACCTATTGCATGACATATATGCAATTATGTACACAAATTGTCAGAAGATATATTAACTGTACTTTTCTAGCTTATATTTATTTTTTTTTGTTTCCTTGAAAATTATTATCAAATTGTCCTCCACAAAAGGTGTACAAGTGTATCAAAGTAAATGTCAGGAAAATCGGTATTGGCTTTAGCACTATTATTTAAAATTTTCATTTGTCAATCAACCAGCAAAAAAAGATATTCCCACATGACTGTGAACGTCCCACTTGAGCATTTATTTCACGTGCCTCAAAACACAGTGCCAGAACTGCGTTTGTCATGACAGGAACAGCAACTGGCTCAACACTCTTCTCATTGTGATGCTGATGATGTGCCCTCCTTAATGTTCTAAAAGATTGTTTGGTGTGACTGCTTCTACTCTTATCTTAACCTTCTCTATCATGTTTAGACTCAGAATGTAAGTACTGTACAGTTTAAGCTACAATATGCTTGGCCTGTAACTTGCTTCAAGGCATTTATATTTATGCCATTTTTGTCTGCTAATTATAGTAACAAGTTGGAAACAGCAATTCCAGTCTCCCAGAAAGGTAAGAATCAACTGTGGTTGTTTGTTTGTTTTTTTTTTTAAATCTTATCATTTTTAAATGGGACTAGGTAAAGTGTTCTACATTTAGGAATAACGGGAGATTTATGAGAACTTTCAGAAAGAACACATTCAAACCCAAACTTAAATGCAAAACTTAATTTGTTAAGAACTGAGGGTAGAAGACAGTGAAAAAAAAAACCCAAAAACCAACAAACCCCACCTCCTCATAACATTAAAATTTTTCTTAGTAAGGAAAAATGAAAGTTTATACAATAAATTAAGTGTATCGTTGTGTTTAAATGACACACTTTTTTTCATCAGGTAAGTAACAACCTTAGGAGTCAAATGGATTGGATTCTGACTGATTTTAACTGAAGTTTCTATTTAATGTGCCCCTTTTCCTTCCTTTGACTGTGTAAAATGTGTTTTAAAGTTGGTCACAGTAATGGAGAAAAAAATAGATTAAAACGTTTGAAATGTTTTAGAGGACGTTGATTCTGTTTTACGCATCCACTGATACCTCATGCCACCTAGAGAATCTATGAATATCAGAAAGTAACTTTTACTTAAATCATACTCTAAAAGAATACACTTTAAATAAAATCTGATTTTTACTTATCCAAGTGCTGCTTCTGTGTTCCTAACACACTGTGATTAGATTCTGATTTTGCAGAAGTGGGATAGTCTAGGAACAAGTTTCCAATCAAAATGAGTACAATTGTGTTGGCCGAATGAATATTCCAGATTCTTTAATTTTAAACTCTTTCTGATAGCTTTTTCCAAATAACTGAATGAAAATATTTCTTTTGCCATGCCTTAATGTGAACATTACCCTAGAGATAGTGTCATATTTCCAGCATCTCATCATTTAGTACTTATTTATCTTTTTTTTTTTTTCCACTCCCTCCTTTAAATTCCCCTTCCCCCTATCATTTTTTGTTGCCTGGTCAGCCCCCACACATTCATACTTATTTATTCCCGTAAAGATAGTGACACTTAGGGTTTATTCTAAGACTAAGTCTGTGTTGCCCAGTGACTAAGGACTTAAGCATGCACTGCTTCTATGCTTACCCTCCTACCTAACTTGACTAGTCAATTTTTTTTTAATTCCTTTCTCTCAGAACCCTCTCTTTTGGCATAGTTCAGTTAACAAGCCACTGCCAGGTCACTAAGTGATCTCCGAAATCTGACATTTGTTTTTTGTTTTCCTCTATCTTTTCTCATGGTACGGCACTACTAAGCAGGAAGGAATGCAAAGAACCAGAAGTTTCAGGGTAATTGAGGATCTCACCATTCACACTGCCTGGCTTCACATCAGTGCAGAAACCTAGAACATATGGAAAATAGTTATCAAGTTTTAACCCTTTTCTCGCTAAGCTTATGAAACAGGCCTTCAGCAGGAGCATTTGTATTAACAGAAAGCAACAGCAGTTAGCTGACTTGGACATGTTCTTCATATGATCAGAATTGCATGGCAAATGTTTCAGAAAAAAGATTACTTGCCAATGTCGTACTTTTGTCCAGGGTTATGCCAGATATATTCTGTGAGATAAGCAGAGCATGGCATTTCAGAGGAACTATTACTTAAAAGTGATAGCTATTATTTTAAGAATCCTCAAATTTTAAATAACTACTACTGCATTTGAACTAAAAAGGAATGTTTTCCATTTTTCTACTAAAAACATCAGCCCAATCAGAATAACCTAGGTTCATATCTATATTTCAGTCAAGAAAGTAGAAATGTGAAAAAAATTAAGAAGACTATAAAAAGATATTGTTAAAAATGTATCAAATAGTTGCTGGCTTAAAAAAAAAAAGTTTGGGTTTTGGTGTGTTGTGGGTTTTTTTTTTTTTCTCCCAATGGGAAAGTCTTTGTAAATGAAAGAATGTTAAAAAGTAGTGTCAAAGTATACCGTATTTGCAGTAAAATAAATGGATTTTATTGCAGTGAAAACTTGGATGAAAATAATAGACTACAGTGAAGCTGATAAAAAGAAAGAAGGAAAGATTTCAGGAAGTTAAAAAAATTAAAATATAAATGAATATTAGATTTAGACGAAACTTAAAAGAGAGAAAAGAGATTGCATAAGTTCTATTAAGAATTATCTATGACACATACAAGTGTGGTCATATTATCAGCTTTAAAAAAGTAAGATTCAAAGTTCAAAATTTCAACATTATATTAAATCCTATATGGATACTACAGTCTGTTTTTAAGCTGTTTAATTCAAAGCTTATTATTAAAAATAGGACTGCTTTTTAAAAGATGAAGGTGAGCAGTGTGGAACTGTTTGCTTAGAAAAAACTGCAAAACACTTATTAAATACATGAAAGTAGTTGTCCACTATTCTTAGTGTTTATAGCTATAAAAGTGAATCATGCATTAACAAGAAGGAAAAGAAGAAAAACATCTATTTCACAGCATAATTGTATCTCTTCCCATAATATATAGCTGGTGTACATACTAATTTTTTATTTACACATTGGAAAGGAGATCTAGATCTTTCAATAGATACCACTCTTGGAAGTGAACATTTTGCTAGAATTCTTTTTAAAGCTGCTTCACTGTGAAGTGATGAGTGGGCTGTTGTGTACGTAAAATTGTCTAATGCTTCGAGGGTGCTGTCAACATATAATACACATGTAGTAATATTCCAGGCATTTTTATTGCAGTTTATTATTCCAGCTTCCCAATAAGCCAGATAAAATCATGTACAAGAACATTAAGGATCAAGGGAAGTGGTTTCTTAAGGCGATTGCTGGCAAAAATTCACCTTCCCATTATAACACACTAAATGGATGGTAATATATTTGGCTATTACTTTCTTACACAATTTATTTCCTAACTCTCAGTTGCTGTGTGCCTAATGTTTGCCTCTTCTCTTCGTAGGCTAAAGGGCCACCGAGTTAGGTCAACTAGTAAATATTCAACTCCATTTTCTGAGCATACGTACTAGTAAAATTAAGGCAAAGGTGTAATGCTTATTTAAGTACATATTTCACCTATTCATTAACGCTTGAACGGGATTACGTGCTTTGCTGAGAAAAAATATCTAAGATATTCCATATTTCAAAATGTATATGCCCCATACGCTTCTCTTCTACACTTGAGTACGAGACAGAAATGTACGAGAACGTCTCTCGTAACCATTTAAACAGAAGGAAAAATACAGGCTTTTTATGCTAAGTTTTTTGTGTTTTTTTTTTTTTTAATTGCCATTATATTTGTAATTCAGGACATTCCGAATTTGTTTTGCTAAATAGATGTATTTGCTGCCAAAGATAAACAGAGACAAGATCTGTTTTTTAATTTATCATACCGCCCCTACTTTTCTGCTAAAGAAGAGTACATTTTGTGTATTTAAAAATACACACTCAACATTTTCTAAGAACTTTAGCGCCCCCATCAAGCCGCCGTCTGGGTTCAGCTTTTTGAGTTTCAGGTCCTTGCACAACACCTAAGACGTGCAAACTCTTTTTTCTCCCTAATTGTGGTAGAGAATAGACCGAAGAAATCTCCCTCAGTGTCTCCACCCTAATTTCCCTTCTTCCTAGATTCCACCCGCTGCTCTCCTTCCCTCTGCGCAGCCCAATCTGTCAGACAAGTTGTGTACAAACTGCGCGGCCACTCTGCGCGCGAAGCTCGTGGCCCGAGAGGGGTGCGGTCGGCCCGAAGGAGACGGGGCCCTCGGTGAAGCTCTTCCTTTTCATAGGCTGGTCTCGCGGACAGGGATAGCCCCGCGTCTCGCGATTGGCAGAAGTGCTGTCAATCTAGGCATGGGGCTCCACCCTCCCTCGAGTTGGTGAAATAGAGGCGGGCGTCAAGTGTCAGTAGTCGCAGGGCAGGTACGCGCGCTAGCAGCTCTTTCGCGGAGACCGGCGTCGGCGGGAACGAGCTCCGGCGAGGGCGCTGTGGGGAGGGGCGGGAGAAAGTGGCCGACCGGAGGACGTTGGCGTTTACGCGTGACCGAGCGGAAGAGTTTTGCTTTTCGTGCGCGCCTTCGAAAAACCGCGCCTGTTGTCGGCTGAGGTGCCCGCCCGGCGATCTCCCCCTCCTCTGCGCGCGCCCCCCGCGCCGAGCTCGCTGGTCCGCGCCGGAGTGGACGAGGTGGGAACGAGCGCACGACCCGCGCCCGGAGCCGCCCCCAAGTGCCCATGGCTACGCGGGTGCTGACCATGAGCGCCCGCCTGGGACCCATACCCCAGCCGCCGGCCCCGCAGGACGAACCCGTCTTCGCGCAGCTCAAGCCGGTGCTGGGCGCCGCGAACCCGGCCCGCGACGCGGCGCTCTTCCCCGGCGAGGAGCTGAAGCACGCGCACCACCACTCGCAGGGACAGTCTGCGCCCCCGCAGCCCGCGGCCGGCCCGCGGCTGCCGCCGGAGGAGCTGGTCCAGGTAGGAAGCTCCGCTCCTCTGCCTTCCCGGGGCTCGGGCGTGTCCGCCGCTGCGGCGCGCGGGCGACAGGGGCCGCTCCAGGCTGGGGAGCGCGTCGGGGCGCACCAAGAGCTGGTGCAGGGGGGCCGAGCCTGGCCCGCGCTCCAGCCCGGGCACCTGCGTTTCCCGGGGAGAAAGAGGGGGCATCCTGGGAGGGGGGACCCCAGGAGATGAGTTTGCCTTGGCAGGGCGCTCCGGGAGAGGCTAATGAGCTAACAGGGTTCGCCTGCGCTGCTCAGGTTTTTCTGTAGTCCGGGGCCTGAAAGCTTGCACCCGCGTCCAACTTTACTTAAATGTCGCCACTACTTTCGGTGCCTTAGCCTTGGGGATCTCCCACGCAGCACCCGCGCCCATGTCTCGGGTTAGTAGCAAGTTGAGGTGTTGGGAGAGGCTCTTGCCAGTTTCCAACCCCTTGGCTCAACCTGCTTTGAGACGCGATTGCGAGGCTGCGTGTTTGAGAAACGCCTGTTAACTGAGGTTGTCTTGAAGAAGTTCTTGGTTTTCCCTGCAAAGAAAGATTAAAAGAAGACCGGGGGGTGTTGTTTTCTTGGCGTGCGCGTAAATTTCCTCCCGGAGCCGCGTTGAAAGCTGGCAGTTGGCTTTACACTTGCCCAGCAGCCGAATTAGAGCAACCGCCTGTTTCTTTCGCCCACGCACGGAGTCATATAGCCCAGAAAAACTTCCCGGGACTTTTAGCCTGTCCCAAGAAAAAAAAAAATTGGAAACATACCCACATGCAAACAGCTGGAAGAGCTAAAATCAGAAACCACTAACCGCCACGGGAGCGCAGTGCACGAAAGGGTTTTAGTTTGGTTTATTTCAAGACACTTCATTTAATAGAGCCCCTTGGTATATTGTGTGTTTGCTACCCAGCCCCTGCTCCGGTGGGTCTGTTTGCCAATGCCACTGTGCAGTCAGAGGACGGTGGCATTTGTCAGAGATGTGATTCACATGACTGGTGTCTTAATTTTATTTTTAAATGGAGTCTGTTTGGGAAACCTCATCCTCATCCACAGTGAATGATCTGAGGCCCCAAATGAAATGCTTTTGAAATGAAGTCGTGACCAAAAAATGACTCTAATTCACGGATTAAGGTGAATGAGTGAGCTCCATGAGCTATTTCAGTTATTTGGGGTATTTTTTTTTTCGTTCAGAATTTCTATTTGTGTTAAAAATTAACAGGAAAAAGTAAGCTTACATTGTACTAAGGAAAGAGTTTGATAGATTGAGGTATCTCTGCATAAACTGATTTTTGGCTTTAAAAAAGTCCCCATTTGGTTAATTAAGCTGGTCAGTTTTGAGCTTTGGAAACACGGAGAGGATGAGGTGAGTGAGCTTTTTACAGAGTCAGGGGGAATGTAGCATGGCCCACTGAAAAAGACATGATAAATGTTTTGCTGATGACTGTGCTAGCAATATAGCAGCCTCCCCACCCACGGCCCCTTAGCACCATTCTACCAAGGGAGTGATTTTCCCAACTAGGTAATTAAAGATCTGTTTTAGATAGGGATATGAATAGGAACATTTCATTATCATATTAGACAATTACAGAATCTGCTGATTAGAATCAGCATTCAGATCAAACGTTGAATGTGAAGGTTTGTTCTTTTTTTTCCAGTGGATACTGTGTTTTTCTCAAAACACTGGATTTAAGTTTCCATTGAACTACAAACAAGAAAAGGCCCTGAAAATGGCCAAGGAATATGTTTTAGATTAGGTATTTCGACAGTATCTATCCAAGTAAAAACTTTTCAGTGTATACTGGTTTTAAGATTTGTGTATTTTTTTTTTTTTAAGAAAGTTAAATTTAACGTACTATGAACAGAATTGAGGTAGTTTAGCAGTATTTTAATGTTGTACTTTAATTACAGACTTACTATGTAGTGGGACAGGGACTCTTCCTTGTATGTGGGTGATACTTGACTATTGCATCAGAAAGGAATACGTTCTGTTTGCTTCCATTCTTTCTTTGATTTGCCTCTTTCACTTTTTGTCTAGGGTTGATTGGGGAAGTGATTTTAGCAAATACATGTTATACAGAGTTTCCTGAGGTTTTGGCCAACCAGTTATTACACAGTTGACCAAATAAACCTTCTTCTTTTATAGGAAACTCCTAGAAAGAATTTCCCCTAATATTTGTTAAAGAGATTTGGGGAGGGGGAGAGTGGATTTTAGTAAGCAGTTTGGCCTTCCTGAGATGCTCAAAACAGGTGGATCATGTTCTTTTTTTTTTGTTTCTCTTCTTTTTCAGACAAGATGTGAAATGGAGAAGTATCTGACACCTCAGCTTCCTCCAGTTCCTATAATTCCAGAGCATAAAAAGTATAGACGAGACAGTGCCTCAGTCGTAGACCAGTTCTTCACTGACAGTGAAGGGTTACCTTACAGTATCAACATGAACGTCTTTCTCCCTGACATCACTCACCTGAGAACTGGCCTCTACAAATCCCAGAGACCGTGCGTAACACACATCAAGACAGAACCTGTTACCATTTTCAGCCACCAGAGTGAAACGACTGCCCCTCCTCCGGCCCAGACCCAGGCCCTCCCCGAGTTCACCAGTATATTCAACACACATCAGACCGCAGCTCCAGAGGTGAACAATATCTTCATCAAACAAGAACTTCCTACACCAGATCTTCATCTGTCTGTCCCTCCCCAGCAGGGCCACTTGTACCAGCTACTGAACACACCGGATCTAGATATGCCCAGTTCAACAAACCAGACAGCAGTAATGGACTCTCTTAATGTTTCTGTGTCAGCTGCCATGGCTGGGCTTAACACGCTCACCTCTGCTGTCCCGCAGACGACAGTGAAACAATTTCAGGGCATGCCCCCTTGCACATACACAATGCCAAGTCAGTTTCTTCCACAGCAGGCCACTTACTTTCCCCCATCACCACCAAGCTCAGAGCCTGGAAGTCCAGATAGACAAGCAGAGATGCTCCAGAATTTAACCCCACCTCCATCCTATGCTGCTACAATTGCTTCTAAACTGGCCATCCACAATCCAAATATTCCTGCCACCCTGCCAGTTAATACACCGAACATCCAGCCTGTCAGATATAATAGAAGGAGTAATCCCGATTTGGAGAAAAGACGCATACACTACTGCGATTACCCTGGTAGGTGATTGTTACCAGGTTAAGAAATCAATATATGAATGTGTTTTGTGTATATGCATATCCATCTTTCAGCCTCAGATTTAAAGATTTACATTTTACTTGATGGTTTTAAAAAATTAAGTCACATACTTTGTGCTTATCCTAGTTTTTGCCTTGTCACAATATGTAATCATTTTATGGGTTTAAAAAAATGGCTCATGGGTTTTAGGGGAAAGTTACTGTGGCCTTTCCCCTCCTAGATATTAAGTAAAATTTTAATTTCTAGAGCTATGCTTCAGTTGGCTTTGTTTAACATAGCAGTCTGATAAAATGGAGTTTTTAATTCTGAGTTAAGTGCCACCAGAAGTTAGATGGAGGGGGAAATAAACTGTGTTAGTAAAGTAGCATTTGAGTAGACAGTTTTGCCAGGCTAGAATAAAGGTGATTCTCTGAAGGAACCTCAGTGACGCAGGGTTTAAAACGCCTCATAAGGTCAACAGGTATAACCTAGTCACTCCATGACAGATGTGGCAGTCTCCTGTTAAGATTGACAACTATGGAAAAACCCTGTGTAGCACCTCTGTTTTCTCCTTCAAAGTCTGAGTCGGAATTGACTCACCAGCAGTGGATAATGGGGTAATGAATGTTTCTGTTGCTGGCATACACTAGTTTAGATGATTAATATGGGGTATAATTTATTTGACTATGGTACATGATATGGCATGACATGGTAAATGAAAAAAAAAAACATGAAATGTAGGAGTATGGAAAATTACAGTCATCATGAATAATGGTTTAAGATTCTCAGGTCTGCAGCCATTTACATTTATTTCGAATTTGTACTATAGTAGCGCTTAAATCACTGATGTATGTGTTACTAGTATATAAAGCACCTGCTGGACTATAAACGCAGATTTTCCTTTGGGAGCTTGGCTTGGTTATCTGTATTCATTCCTGCTAAAGTGATGTCTGAGACAAATCGCTTTATGCCTTTTTAATAAGGTAATGGGGGAGGGCTCTTAAAAACTTAAAACTGGAGCTTCAAATATCTAGCATGAGAGATTTCTTTTAAAGCCAGATTTTAAACACTGAATCATCAAATGTAAAGATTTCAAAAGGCTCTCCAGAATGACAAGCTGTTCTTCCTCTCCTTTATTTCAGGCTGCACAAAAGTTTATACAAAGTCTTCTCATTTAAAAGCTCACCTGAGGACTCATACTGGTATGTAATTTTCTTGTTAATTCTGTGAGTTGTGTAAATAGTGTAAGTGGTATTCATCCTTTTAAAAGCCAACACGTGTTTGATCTCTTCTTTCTTCTGTCAACTTTTATTTTTTAATGGCCTACCTTTTCAGTACTGGCTTGGCTCAAAATCTAGTTCAGTAAAAAAGCTGGTTTCAGGAAAGGATGAACGTCTCCTCACTAAGACCTTGCCCGTCACCTTGCATAGAATTAATTACTCAAAAATGTAAACAACAGCATTTACTAATGGATTTAAACACTGAAAAGGCACTGCTCTTGTCTTGGGAGAGAGGAGATTGTAACTGATTTTTGCACCTATAAAGTCAGTTTAAGGACCAAATTTATTTTTTCCTATAGCACATAAAACATATCCGCTTAATACGTTTAATTTCACCTTTAGCCCAAAACATTTAGCATGTTTTCTGTGTGTGATGAAAGGTTGGGCTGAAGTTGCTGAATTGAAGCCTAGGTAGTCCTAGAATGGATTGTGGTTTAGAAATTACTGCACATGCTGCCTCAGCCTACATTTGATGTGTTTTGGGGGCTTTCTCTTTATTCTAGTTTGTTTCATCCCTGTTTTAAGACAGGTTTTTAAATTTAGCCTTCTCTCTAAATATTTATTTTTGTCAGCTCTGTAAGAATCGTGCTTGAGAGCTCCTTTTTAAGTCATTTTAAAATGAGAGTAGGTGGCATACATGAAAAAGCCACCAAATACTCAAAATATTTTAAAATGTATACATGGTTACTATTTGTGACTTTCTTACAAGAACAGCCATAAAGAAAGGAACTTACATAAAATGATTGCTTCCCCCCCCTCTGAATAAATGCAGCCTTACCTAAAGTTCAAAGAATAAGTTTGCTAATAAAAGCAATGACCTAGCAAAATGTATTATTCCATCATTGCTATGGAAACCAAAGTATTCAACAGTTCCTTTGAATGGGTTGTTGGATTAGTGCGAGGACTTGAATCTCCCCAGGCTAGATGTTACTATGGAAATTGAGTTTTGATAAATGAAGTAGTTATCTTCTAACTGCTGCATTAAAAAGTAAAAGCATTTGAACAAAGGTCAGTGCTGTGATAGAGCACTGAGAGAAATACGGTTGCAGACATTTTTGTGTGCATGTTGGGAAGTATCAGGTACCCTAGTGATAAATACTTCTTGAAATCTCAGTATTGGGCAGCAATGTGTTAGATTCCAGGACTTTTTGAGAGATAGTTTTCATAGAAATAAATGGATAATTCAGGCCTGAGTTTTTTAGAAACAGATTGTGTAAAAAGGAAAACGCATAAAAAGCCCAAAGTAGGAATTACGTTTATATTTAAACAGAATACTTGCAGTAAAATTTATGTATAAATAAAAAAAAAATTAAGCATAAAGTAAAACCCAACCCAAGCTTTTCAAAATACAAATGGATGCCTAGAAAATAATTTCGAATCTAGAAGAACTAAGATATGTCTTCACAAGGAATAGATAGTCTATTACTAAAAACTTGAGATTGAGTCTTTATTTGAATTCTTGATTAAAGAGTGGTGGGGAGAATGTTTAGAAACGGGAATGACATTTTCTTTGGGGTTTTTTTTTTGTGTGTGGGGGGGATTTTTTTTTTTTTTTGGTCTCTCTGGGAAGTCCTTGAATGGAAGATAGTAGGAAGGGGGAGCATATTTTTATGGGGTTAAAGTCTGATAATAAAAGAGGAATACAATTGCACGTAACGATATAATCAACTGCTTATTGCAGAGATGTAGTGAGAGCATATCTAAATAGCCTTTCAACCTCTGTCAGGATTTAGTGCTCTGAGTGCCTGTACCTGTGATTCAGGAGCTTGACCTGCTGGCAAGAAATTTAATAGTGAGCTGTCTTAACAATGCTTGTACCAATAAAAAGCAAACTGAAAAGAGAACCTAGGCCCGGTTTGGGTCCCATACATCCACTTTTTCACCTGGTCATAAACAACTTGGCCTTCAACATTTAATGAGTGAGGCCATGTAATCCAGTTTAATAAAGTTTTGTTTGATAGTCTTTCAAATGCCTTGGGGAGGGTTTGTAGCCGACTTGTTCGTCTGGCTAAACTCGTTCTTGGGTAATCATAGAGCATTGAGGTTGTTTTCTCCTCATTTCTAGTTTCTAGACAATGCCTTTTAAAATTACCCAGGCGCTCTCATTGCATCCTCTCCACCCCCCAGCTGTTTTTAAGTGAACGTGAATGTAGCTGAAGCCAACAAAGGCTTAGGCTTTTTTTTCTTTCAAGGCCCAGGCAGATCAGTTTTTAGAAATATCTTCTGTCATTTAATAACTTTTTTTCTATTTTCCTTACTCACTTGAACAATTTACTGAGGACTTTAAAAACAATCTATGTGAGAATGTTGTTGATCTTGTATTTGATGATATGAAATATCTTGCTTTTTAAAGATTGCCATTTTAGATGCAACATGTGACTCCATAGTAACATTTCTTTAAAACACAGTTGCTTGAAAACAACAAGTTACCCTATGTTTTCACAATGCAATTAAAACTATCTGAGCTCTGTTGTTTATTTTGGACTTTTTTAGATTGTCAGCGCTTCCTACTAACATGTCTTTCAAACTGTCTTTCCACGACTAAAAACTTTTGAGACAGAAGAGTAGGAGATATGATCTGTTTTTTAAACCAGAATTTTCATAGTACTTGTTTTTCCAAGTTTATGTATTTAGATTTTTATATTTGGAAAACATATAAATAATATTTTATCCTTTTTGCATGGTTAGGCTTTTTAACCTGGAACATAATCTACCCCTTTCCTAGGAAGTAATTTAACTTAAAAACACACTATGCATGTACATATGTGAACTAACACACGTGTTGGACGATGTAACCATGCCTTATTTAGGTGTTTGTGTGTATGCCTTAACACTTATCATTAGGAAAAATACGGCTTCCAAGCAAAAGTGTCAATACATAGTATTATTTCCAAATCAGGTATTTGTAGTTTTAGCATTTGTAGTTTCATTTACATATGAATATTCTTACAAAATTTTTGTCCAAGGTATAATAGACGAAGCTATATCCATTGAGGTGTTTTTGTTCCTTCTAAGACACCTTTAAATATGTAATTCTTATAAGTTAACATGAATGGACTTTTTAAATGCATGAATAAAGTAAAACAATCTACCATAAATTCAGAACCTTAAAAAGTTGTGTTAGTCATATAATCAGCAGTCTTTTTTATGCATGTATCTTGAGTATGTTTCAATTTCATACTAAAGATTGAGAAAAAACTTCAAGTTAACATGGGCTGGAGGTCAGAGGTTAAATGTCATAAGCCTTCACACTGAATGTGGGATGCTCTTGGAAATTGTGCATTTGTTTATACTTTTAAAAGTACTTCACAAGGGAAAATTAAGAAAAAGTAGATGTCTTAATGTGAATAATCTCCTGTCCACGTAGGCTTAGAGCTGAAACTGTTGGGTGGGTAGCTGTGGTAACATTTTTGATCATTTGTCAGTCTCAGCTGTTCAGGAAAAGGGCAGAGCATTGCTGTTTGTCCAGAAAACAAGCCTTTGAGCTCTCCTCTTGGGCTCAGGCATCCCTTAGACCCAGCCTCCATGGATTGGCTGTCCCATGTGCACAAAGGGGTCCCAGAGTGGCTGATAAAGGTTGTCACAAAAACAACCTCCTCAAAAAAAAAAAAAATTGAAGACATCCTCCCCAAAAGAAAGTTGAGATATTATGGGAGGCACAAAGTGGAAGTGAGGCACTTCATGGTTTAATGCTGCAGTTTATAGTGTCTTATGTACAGCTGAGATGTCCCTGCTTAGGAAAAAATGCCACATATCATCTTGGAGAGAATTTTAACCTCTGAGAGCCTACTTGCAAAGAGGATCAATTCCTAAGGCCTTCCTACTATGTAGAACATTGAGTTTCCTGCTGGCACTTGATAATTAATAAGCTGCCACTGTACTAGGGAGCTCTGATGGCTTGTTACTGTTATGTGCCACTAGTTGCCTGTGGCTCATAGCGACTCTATGTCCAACAGCTCTGTAGCCTGCCCTGTCCTGAGCCACTCTCTCACTGACTCTGACACACCTACTCCCATTGCCCCAGTTACTGTATCAATCTGGGGTCTTCCTCTCCTGCACTGTCCCTCCACCCTTCTGAGCATGATGTCCTTCTTCAAGGACCAGTCCCTCCTGGCCACGTGCCCAAAGTGTGTGAGACGGAATTTACCAATCCTAGCCTCTGAGTGGAAACTTGGTTTCAGATGCCTTAGCGGTAAGGAATTGTGCTGCCACGCCAAAGGTTTGAATCCTCCAGCTGCTCTCTGGCAGTAAGATGGGTAATCTCTTCCTGTGCAGTCATTTCCAGGTCGCTTTGGACCCAATGCTGCACAACAACATATAATTCTTTAATAATTAATCTCTGAGATTTGCTGTTCATTACTTCAGTTTTTAGTTTTTCATAATATACTGTACTTTGGGTATTAAAAAAATTGTTAGGCATATATTTCTGGACAAATTCTGTGCTGTGAACTCTCTACCCATTTTCATCTGTTAGAGTTTGATACAGTATCTGCAAGGTTTTGATTGGTTGTGAGGGTTGCTGTGAGTTGTAATCTGCTTGATGGCATCTAACAGCAAAATTTTTTTTAAAAGATTGAGTGTTCTTGTAGGTACTGTTATTGCATTGACTTCCCCAGTAAGAACCATTCAAAGTGTTTTCAACCTAAGTAATTATAGTGGATATGTGTAAAAAAGTAGAAAGACTTAAAATATATTTATTAAAAAGATCTCATTTTCTTGGAAAGCTGTTACTCAGAGCGAAATCTCATAAGCTGAAAACAAGGTTTTTTTGTATTTTTTAAACCTTAGCTTAATGAAGTTCATGCAGTTGGAATATAGAAGTTGAATATTAGTTAAATGATTCACCTTTATTATTAGTAGAGTTGTCATATGTGCTTTAAAAAAATATTTTTACAGCATGACATTTAGTACCTAGTAAAATT